CCGTTTAGTGATGGATTTAGTCGGGGCGAGTCCCCCCTTATCCCACTAAAATTAGTTCCTCCAGCTAACAAACAACATATACACTAATCTTTAATCCAGTCTAGTCCAGTGAAGGCTAGTGAGGCCAAACAAACACCCTTATAGTATTTATAGAGTGTTGTTTTCTTTTGAGATTTTCAATGTGAACCTTTAGGCGTGGTTGTTGTTGTTAACTAATAATTACTAATTAGTTGAGAGGAAATGATGGTTATGTTTGAGACTCTTAGGGAATCAACTATAAAAAAAAACAAGTAAACTTTGATTTGGTATTCAAATGATTTAGTATTCGGAATCGTAAATCGGCATGAATCGAAGCGGAACTGAAGTAGACCAAATCATACAATTTTAATAATAAATTTAAGCGGAACCGCACCAAACCAAACGGTTGATATTTTCCGATTCTAATTTCAATTTTACAGTGAAATTGGGTCGAACCACATCGTGCTCACCCCTGCCTAAGGTCATCTCCAATAGATAGCCAAAGGGTTGGTTTTAGCCTTATTTGGTTAAAGACCCATCTCCAATGGTGGGTTAAAGAAATTCTTGCAAAAAGATTAGGGGCTAAAAGGCTTAAGGGTTTGCCATACGTAGCTCGCTTGAAAGTCTAGGTCCATAACTATTCATGGACCCACCCAAGTGGTTTGTTTTTTTGGGAAAAAACATAATGAAAAAAAAACGTACGCAGCAATAAACTTTGATTCTAAAAAAAAAAAAATTCCAACTTTAACTAAGCCATAAATAAATAAATAAATAAGTTTAATTTAAAAATTACATCTTAGCTGAATGTGTGAAGGTTGATATTTCTCAATATGCCAAAAAATAATAAAATATTGAGAAGAATAAAAATTTAGCCTCTGCACTATTAAAAATGAAAATTATAGCCCTCAATATGCTATTGAAGACGGATATTGCGACCACTTTAGACGATGCATGCATCATATATATATATATATATATGCCCACTTTACATATACACTAATAATGCAGACGTAGAAAGAATGGGTACGGGACTTCAATTCATTGAGAAATGACAAGTGCTGGGGTATGCAAAGCTAAGATGGGTACATGCATGCTACCCTTATCCTCCTAGTCCTGCCTTTGAAATCCCACAACAAACATTTATACGTACAAGTTTACAAGGGTTCGCAAAAGTACACATATGTGTACTCATATGCATTGTTCCTTGCTTTTTACAATCAATTTTCATTTAGGGTCCCCCGGGGGGGGGGGGGGGGGGGGGGGGGGGGGGGGGGGGCGGGGTGGTGGGGTGGGGGAAGGATTTGGGGTTTGCATGTGGGATGATGAAACCCCGAACACATGGCGTACGTGACGTGCATGCCTGCATATACTCTGTTTAAATTAGATAATATATCCAAATTTCAATGGATTTGCTGCCCAATTGTCTCCAAGAATCTTTTCACCCATGTTATATTTTGTTAAGCAGATATGATCGATTTGTTCTTGTCCCCCTTCCATAGCTAACTTTTTCATGACTTTCGCCCTCTCTTTTTTTCTTATCCCTTTATTTTATCACAAATGATTAATTACTACCACTGTGTATTTTTTACACAATTATATGTTAAGTTGTCTATATGTATGTAGAAATTAAGTGACAATTAATCACTTAGTTAAGCTTTTCACATGTATTTGGGTTATTAATTGGTAGTTAGGCGTAAATGACCTAATAAGAGGCAGTTGTATATTGGTTTCATGGAAACGTTGGGTCGGCAGCTCTTATTTTAGATAAGTGGTTAGGCTCCAGCATCTGCTTAGGTCCAAACTCTTTATTTTTTTCTTTCCATATTACTAAACATTATTATAACAAGATCAACTTGTAGGATTTATTTTGAGTGCATGATAATTAACTATAACTTGAACTATAACCCCTTCCAGACTAGTAAATATAACTTGTATATCAAGTAACAAAGCATATGACAGAGATTTTACATATTTCCAAAATTAATACTTAAAAAAATTACAAACTCACCTTAATTTTCATGCGCAGAGGCTCTTTATATGTTGTTGGTAATTGTAACATGCTGCATGCTTACGAATCAAAACCCTGCAGATGTTATTTAATTGATGAGAATTGCTGAGTAATTAGCTGGAAGCATAATCAGTATATATACAGGTCATGAGACAAAATCTTAGCAGGAATTAATCGATCAGAATGAAAAGGAAAAGGAGCTATTTAGGGATAAAAAAGCCCACATGGAGCACGAAATTGGTTTTTGAACATGAAGAAAATATGTCCAATAAAAGGAAGCATGTAATGGTCGTAATGGGCAAAAAGAAAAAAGGCCACTCCCCATATATTGGTTAAGTACGAGCACGAGTTGCTATTGAGTTTCACGTGTAGGTCAACTTACTCTGATATCATAAAGAAAGTTACAGTTTTTTCATATAACTAATTGACAATATGAAAATTAACTGAATTTATTTATAAACTCATATAAAGTTTTCCTTTCACTGGTATGAGACTATTTACCTTCACATTCTCACAATGTATATCTGACAAATAGGATCACATAATTTCATTATACAATTATTATTATAAAAGCACAAATTCGTCCTTTATTAATGCATAACAAGAACAAGAGGTTGAAGCTAGGAATATACAGCTTTTGGCTAACATCTCTTTTTCTCTCCATCTATTGGACATGATCTTGACCATGAGTTCCAACCCCTTCACATTGCCAGCTCTTCACAACATATTAGAATATTATTGAGCAACTTATGAAGAAAAAGGGTAAACAAAATATTGCTTTTCACACACATTTTCTCACTTCATACACACTGTTTTAGTTTTGTAGTCGATAGATTAAACAATCAAAATAAAATCAACGTTCAATATTAACAGAGAATGTACATAAGATAAAAAAGATTGTGTTGAAATCACTAAAAAAAAAAAAAAAAGGGAGAAGCAAATGCATAACATCGATCCTCTAAACAAATTAAACTCATAATTAAGGTCAAATTCCATTGACTTAACATATAGTTGGTACCCCAAGTAGCAAGATTTCACTAGGGGAGAGTGAGGAAACAAAATTAATTAATTATAAATACTAGAAATAAACTAGTTGCAAGCACATGGCTATGCAAAAACGAGTTGGCTATCCTATTACTAGGCTCCTACTCCTCTCCTTTTTTGTTTATTCTTGTTATATTTGACTGCTTTAAGTTAGTCAGTACTATTCCAATTCTTTGATGAAATAGAACAACAAAATAGTGATATATTCTCGTTTCATATAAGTCACTACATGATATGTGATAGACTACCGTTTCATGCAAATTATTTTGTTATTTAAAGAACCGTGATACTTAATTAAAATTGATTATTTCTCCTCTTCTAATTCTGGATTAATTTGTAAGCAAAAGGTCTGGCAAATTTTAGCAACAAATGCGAAAAAGTCATAAAATCCTCTGTTGAGAATGAGTCCCACGTAGATGGGAGGAGGGACCTTGCATGGACTTATAATAGGTTAGGCTACTCCTCATATTGCCAATTGGTTTTATAATAGAACCTCAACTTTTTTCATGGTATCGAAGTATGTTGTCTCAGTGTGAAGCCAAAACGGCCACACACGCTTCACATCACCCCGTTGTGTAGTCCACGTGTTAGGTTTGAAAATTCACCTCACGTGAGGTGGCGTGTTGAGAATGAGTCCCACATAGATGGGAGGAGGGATCTTGCATGAGCTTATAAGAAGATGGACTACTTCCCATATTGTCAATTGATTTTATAGTGGAAGCCCAATTTCATCAGGCTCGGTCCATTCCCATAGCATCAACCAAGTCATTCGTATTAAGCCTATGAGCATGTCATTAATTTTGAAAATTTGACCTTGCATAGATGCACAAAAGAATGTTTTTAACTAATTGAATCACAAGCATGAAGTGATACTAAAATTTACGAAGGGAGCTACAAAATGATATTAATGACTTAAAGAATAGAAAGATCTTATAAAAAGTACACAATAAGATATAAACTCAATCTGATGAAGATGTTTTTGGTATAACCCCCCATATGTTTTTTTGTGAGAATTTTAACGAAAAGTTCCCGGTACTATTTACTTTAACGAAAAACCACATTTTTACACTAAAAAGTCAATCCTGGTACTATTCACTTTACCCTTTATTTTGTCCTTACCGTTAAAACTTGAAGTTTTCAAGCCCTTTTCATTAATTTTCATTTTTTTTATTTGTCTCTCATCGCCCTTAGGTCTAAAAGTGGTAATAAACATAATTTTAAACCTGCAGCCACCTTGCTGTGTAGAATCACCGGTGTATCTCCGACGGAATGCTACAGTTGTTGTCATAAAACCAATGGTTAGATAGTGCACACGTCGGTGTAAGCAACTAAACACATCATAACTCGTGCTGATAGACGAAAACTGGACATGAAATGAAGTAGATAATTCCAAGATTTTGAAGAAAAGCTAGAAGAATCATAATATTCTTATACGCTAGCCGGTAATTCCAAGATTTGTAACTTCTGATCGTACATGCTTGTAAAATCATGAACACGAGCATTTTGGTTTCACAACCTATTACCATCATGCGTGTGACGATTATGGAGTCATGGACAATTAATTAGTGAATCTAACAATCCATAGTTCACATCAATCAAATTGTTAGTTAGTTAGAGCTTTTCACCTTGTTGATCATATAGTTGGTCAATAATATTGAACAATACAAAAAACCTTTTTCAGCAATCCATCGATATCAAATCAAATCGAATAACCATTCATGCAGTTGCTCACCTCTTACAGCTCATAAAAAACTCCTACGTACGTACCCTCGACCACCAATAATGTCAACTCATAAACAATTTCACAGAAGCACGGGATCTGTGCGTTTTTTCACTTTGCTTACCAGTCACTATAGAATCCGTGACTTTGCCAAAAATATCAGCAACAACGTCCATATATATATATATGTGTGTGTGTGTGTGTGTATGTATATGTATATGTATAGTAACACTGTAACAGTACTTGATTTGGTGGTGATTGGTATGCATGGGCTTCATTTGCTACCCTCCAATCGGATTGCTTGAGAGATTATTGAATCTTCTGTTCATTTCATGGCTAAAGTTTGCTGTTCAATTGAGACAGAGCCTAGAACCTTGAGTGAAGGGCAACTCAACCATGCTAGGGTGGGTAATTTTTTAAAATGAATTTTTCTTATATAATTCACCATGTTTTTTTATTTGATTAAGTGATGTTAGAGCATGGGAGAATTGAACTCGGGAGCTTAAGTGCAGCAAGAGAGAATGTTCCTAGTTAACTGAACTATATATAAGCTCCTTGGATCACAAGTTAAGCTTCTTGTTTTTAATTTGGACTTTTTGTACTCTTCTAAATGTTTCTCATCATATTTGCAGGAAATTGCTGCTGATGTAGTTCAGAAAATGGAACCAACTGAAGCCACAGCTCTATTCATCGAGGTTAGGTTTTATAATCTATGTTTAGAAAGAAAGTTACATTTGTTAGGAGTGCACAATCAGATTTTTAGAGTGCCAATAACAACTCCCTAATTGATACCATAGTTACATGCTTCCAAATTAAATGGCTTATGCATATGCATATAGGGATTGAGACCGGTTGGATCAGTGAAAGAGATGAAGTATATGATTGATGGTGAGCAACTACAACTGCAGACTAAGCTTGTGGACTGGAAGGAGGAGGCTCAAATTTTAGAAAGGCCTTGCCAATGCTTGTGCTCTACGGCCATTGTTGAAACGCCCGATCAAGAAACGCAACTTACAGGATCTGTGTCGGCCCCATTTTGATAGTTTTCGTTTTTCAAAGTTCATAATTTGACATATTATGTTATTAGGTTGTGCGATGAGAAAATATTTATGCATATCAAATAAATACAGTAAGATTCGTGCCAAATTTAAACGTAAGATTAATGAAATACTGCGGTCAAATATCTCATTTTTATCAGTATAGTATTGTTGATATTTGTAAAGAATGCAGATTTGGGTCTCCATAGCAACTAAGTTTCTTCTGTTTTAATTAGGGAATGCTAGATGCAACTGCAAACAATATGCCGTGTTCGGTGTTCATGCAAAGTCGTGCACATTTTGGGCTTTCGTGACAGTGCGATAAAGATTAGAAAGAAGCTTTAATTTTCATTTATTCAATACAATATGTAGGAATTTAGGATAAGCCAAGATTTAAAAGTGGTTTTGGTTGAACTTCTTAACAGGAGTAAAACACTCTTGAAGGCAATGAACTTTGATAATCTTGTAAGATGAAGCAATGGAGGTTTTAGTGAGAGAAAGTAAGAACTCAGAAGAGAGAGAGAGAGAAGGGAATATGAAGTGATTTTCATTAAAGCAAGTAAACCAGTACAATAGAATTCATAGACCAAGCCTAACTAACTTTCCTTATGTGGCACACCACTTTACAACTAATTATATTCCTTAACAGATAGACCATTCAACTATTGACACATGGACACTATATTTTCCGTTATTACTCCCCCCCTTAATCTTAGTTGGGATATCCCAGCCTGAGAATGCTCCAATGTTTCACGAAGATAGGACTGTGCAAACCCTTGGTGAGAACATCAGCAACTTGCGAATTTGTTTGAATATAATGAATTGTGATGTCCTTTTTTTTAACTCTTTCTCTGACAAAATGATAGTTTGTATCCAAGTGTTTAATCCTAGAATGAAACACTGGATTCGAAATTAGTGCCAAGGTTGAGAGATTGTCATAATGTAATGAAGGAGGATTTTACAGAAACCCATGCAAATCTTTCAACACAGACCTTATCCAACAAACATCAGCAGTACAGTGTGCTAGTGCTTTATATTCTGCTTCAGTTAAGCTTCTTGAAATTGTTGGTTGCTTTTTGGATTGCCACAAAATTGGATTATTTCCAATATACACAATGTAGCCAGTTATTGATAATCTAGTATTAATATATGTTGCCCAATTAGTATAAGAGAAAGCTGTAATATTGATATTAGAAGAAGGAGAGTATGTGATTCCACACTCACGAGTCCCCTGCAGGTATCTCAAGATCCTTTTGACAAGAAAGAAATGTGCATCAGTTGGTTGCTTCATATATTGATAGACCACATTGACTGAATGAGCAATGTCTGGCCTTCTAAAGGTAAGATATTGAAGCGCTTCAACTAGACTTCTGTACAAAGTAGGATCTTTCCTTGGAATTCCTTCTGACACAAGCAATTGAGTATGAGGTTTGGATAGAGTAGAAGTTGGTTTACAAGAGCTCATGCCAACTTTGTTGATTAACTCCTTTGCATACTTAGATTGGTTGACAAATAGACTGCCATCAGACTCGTACTTAATTTGCAAACCAAGAAAATATGTCAATTTCCCCATATCTTTTAAGTCAAAAAGTTCACCAGGTTGTGTAATAACCATCTGAATCTTTGAGCTATTCGTTAACCTATCAAAATTATATCATCTACATATAATAGTAGAATGATAATGTCTATTCCATCATGCTTGACAAATAAACTTGTATCAGATTGTGAAACCTTGAACCCTAGTGAAGGTAAGACACCAGTGAACTTATAATTCCCTGCCATTGGAGCTTGTTTCAGACCATATAGAGATTTGACCAACTTGCAAACATAATTGTGACTTTTTGCATCAATAAATCCTTGTGGTTGCTTCAAGTAGATGTCTTCCTGTAATCTTGTTTGCATCAATAAATCCTTGTGGTTCCTTCCTCACAATAGCACCAAATTGTAATCTTGTTTGCATTGGATGTCAACTACTACTAGGTATGAAGGAAATATTTGTGAAAACTAGTTCATTTGAGCAATATCTATGCATGCAATTAACAATTAAAAGGTGGAATCATGCTTGTATGCACTCAAAAAGAAAACTTTACCCATGAAATTCGAGGCCTAGTAATTGTGGTGAACCAAGACTCAACTCAAATCTTAAAGAAAGGAGTTGAGAAACTTTTATACCTTTGAAGCACCTCTTTGCTTAGCAAAGGATATTCACCCATGTGAGGGCCTTCTTTCCTTAGTCTCCTTGCTCCTTGACTCGATGGATGTGGATGGTGGAACTTTGCTTCTTGGCTCCATGACTTCTTGGATGGATGAAGGAATGGATTCTCCAAGTTCCCAAAATAGGGAACCTCCAAGTCTCTCATATGAGGAAATAAGTACTATTTTCTTTCACAGAGATATATGTTTTATTCACGTTCCATGTGAAGTACTTTTTCTTCTCTCATTAATCTTCTACTTCTTATTAGCCACACTTTTACAACGATTGTAAAACATAGTTACTAATATGGAATCAAGCATTGAAGTAGAAGTCTTGACACTTGCAAGACATTTCTTGCAAATACCTCTTCCAATGTCCATCCTTTCATAAAGAAAGTTTGTTCCCTTGGAGTTATTTCGTTTTCTTCATTTGACTTCTCCCTTTACTACAATAGTCATGGTCCCTAAACTTCCACTATTTCTCTTGAAACTTATTTCAATTGTGTTATACACATCAAACGATTTGAAGAGCATGCGGTTATTATTCACTATATAGTTTACAATAAACTTAGTGAACCATTTGAATAGGGACTCAAAGGTGAAGTCCTTGCCTAGTTTCCATCTCCTGAAGTGGTTTAACACTTCAACACTCAATGATTCAAAATCATCATAAGTCCATATTGATGTACTATTTTTGTCAATCAACCATTATGTTCTAAACATGATTACAAACTTTCAAGAGTTGTTCAAGGCAACTCTCATTTCTTCATACAACAATTTGTAAGTAAAGAATCATGGCTCATAAAGTGTCCATGCCCTTGTGCTTACTTCTCAAGTTCCTTGTTCATGTAACAAAGAAACAAGCACAAGTGTTTGCGTTAACTAAGAGTTGTTCAAAGCAACTCTTATTTCTTCATACAATGATTTGTAATGGAAGAATTATGACACTACAAGTGTCCATGTCTTTGTGCTAATCTTCTCAAGATACTTTGTTCATACAACAAAGGAATAAGCACTAGTTGTTTGTTTTGTCCTCTTTATGATAGACTTATCTAATATATTCTTCCATTGATATAGTATCAATAGGAAGATTGTGAGGATGAGACTACTTAGGTACATATACAATCCATTCAAGACAATCTATGGGATTATGGTACCAAGTCCGGAAACTAAAGCCTTCGGCTTTTCTTTGTCAAGTTTTGGATAGCGTTTTGCAAATATATTGGTAAATAGATACATAATGAATATAAATTGATTGATTTTAAGCTATTTGATCTAGTTCTCTAAATCAAATAGCACCTCCCACTATTTTTGGCAAATTCCATATCCCTCATCAAAATTCGAGAGTTTTGGAGGAAACTCTTAGTAGGGTATAGGAGGCTCACTATTAACAAGCCAATCTCACAATGATATGATTTTGGCTAGCATTAATAATAATGAGAGTACGCTTACCCATTTACATCTCATGTATGTACCCATCTTATTTGGCCTCTAGAGAATGGTGTCTCACAATGATAGGATGTTGGCTCCATTGCACTTAGTTAAGTCATTCCCACCATGCAAGTTCGGGTAGGGGGTTCAAGAACAACCTCACGATGATATGATGTTGATCATTCTCGTTGCCTACCTTCACAACATCATGTATGCGTATAGAACTCCTCCTGAGTGTAAGCATATACTTTGTACTCCCCCATGATAGAGTGAAGTCGATGTATGAGTCACAAATGATCGAAGCCTATCACGGTCGAAGGCCACAAAAGAGTGTTCAAAGCACTTTCATGCTTCTCAACTTAATAATGTTTTGGTTGAGGATTTTTAGGTCTCATCACATATAAGCATGCATTTTAATCTTATTAAAACAATTTGGTCTTATTACAACTATTGGTCCATGTGATCGATTTAGTAGTATATGATACTCCCACTATGCTTGTAAAACGGTTTTCAAAGCAAGAATATATGGTACTACTAACATAAGCTTTGCATTCATTGATGGACTATATAGTTGCCTTAGGGCCTTATGATGACTATGAACCTTTAATTCGATCCAACACGAGCTTAGTGTTGGATCTCGGTCTAGGGATGGTGATTAATTTTAGTTACATGTTTAATCACATTACGGCGTGTTTTCTTATTGGGCGTTGGACCCTACTACTCCAATTTCATGCATATCAAATAAAACAAGAAAGGAGTACTTCAAAGTAAAGAAGAGTTTATGCTCTTTTACAACATTTGATCAAAACAAATTACTTTAAAGTAAAGAAGAGCTTATGATCTTTTACAACATTTGATCACATCAAATTACAACCAAAATCTAATCTACACATTCTCATGGTTCAAACAAATTTGAGAGATGGCCTTCACATAGCTCAATTATCATAGGCTTGGGTTCATAATCACCCTTTCTTTAATTAATTAACGCTTTAACTAATTAAACTTGAATGCAACATTGTCATTTGGTTTTTGTATCCATATAATTGATTTAGATGGAGCTAAATGAAATGAAAATCCATTTCTCATTTAAAGATACAAAACTATTTTGTTCTCTACTAATTTGGGCCAAAATGCAATAACCTCAACTTTTTGGTCTCTATAGCAAAACACAAACTTTTGAGGCCACTTTGTAAAAACACAAAAGTCCACTACTTCATGTAATTACAACTAGAACCCAAAAATTTCAACAAATGCAAAAACTTCATTAAAGGAACAAAACAATTTGTCCCTTAGTGATTTTAGGCCTTTACGTAAAAACGTAAATTTTCGGGTTAAAGTGCAAATACACAAAAGTATCAAAACTTTATGTAATTGCATAAAACCCCAAAGTACCCCCATTATAGGGGTGACCGGTCAAGGTAGTGTGAGTTGATTTGTTTGTTTGAAAGGTGATTGAAAGTTGTAGTGATTGGTATGGTATGAATAGTAAAATAGGTATGGGTGATGTTTAAAAATTCATATCATCCATCACTAACAAAAACCAATAAACAATCAAACATCTTTTTGAATCAAAACACCAAACCTTTTGTTCTTGGTATGAACATCAAGAGCAAAGCAAGAACATTGAAGAACATCCATGAAAAC